AATAAATCCGTTTGAATTTCGCAAAATCAACTTTTTCATAAAGCAATCCATTATTATAAATTTTATGATAGCAGGACTCTACAAAGTCCTCGGGGTCTTTATCTTTGTAACACTCATAAGAGCCGAGAGTATCCTCAAGGGGAATCTTTTTATCCGTATCTAACCGGGGGTCGTTATCATCCAAGGGCGACATGATATAAGCCTGACGGTAACGGTCATAGGCACAGCCGGCAATATCTTTAGTTTTACCAATGTATTTAGCAACGTAGGCAAAGCACTTGCGGGCACTAACTTTGTCAGAACCGGGATAATCCTGTTGGAGGTTGAGCGTACCATTGGCAACAAGGTCAACAACATCCACATTACCGATACAGAAAGAGAAAGGTGTAACATTCTGTCCTCTGTAGGCACGTATATCCAAGGGGTCGCCAGTTTTGACACACTTGTAGGACCAGGCATCTCTAAATTCAACAGTAGAAATAGGATGCCGAGACCATACAATAAGGTGGAAGTGAGGACGTCCGTAGGTAGAACCTAATTCGCCACAAGCAGCATAGGAAATAGGGTTATCTTCTAACCGGGAGCGGAGACGTTTGAGGTATTTAGTCAGGTGCTCGTGTATGATAAGGGAAGGAGTCCACCGGGGAGCGTGAAAAGAGTTATGTGAATCAAGAACCGGGAACGTATCAAGCCAATCACCTTTGAAGGGATGATTTTTATAGGGATTAAGGTTGTACGAGCCATAGGTCAGAGTAACAAAGTAGCAGTACTGCCAGTAGAGAGAGTGAAGCGTCATTCGGGTTACCCATTCATTACGGTGCTGATTCGTGCAGTTAAAGCACTTTCCGCAGTCAACAACAGAGTCAACAAACTTACCAGTCAACGAGTCAAAGGTCTTCATCTTTATAGGTTGAAGACAGCCACAAGAAGCATATACAGAGGGGTCTTCTCCTTGCAGGATTCTATGTAGGTATGTGAGAGGACGGGGCATAATTAATAATATTTATATTCAAATTGAATATCATCGGCTTGTTTCTCATTTGGAGTACCAAAAAAAGAATAAAACATATCAAGAGCACGCTGGGTAGCCGATTCACGACAATTACCGCGACCTTCAAAAGTCTTACCATGATAATGTAAAACACAAACAATAATATCAGTCATAATTAAAAAGGGTATTCAATGTTTAACAAATTGCACATAAGGTGCGAATAAAAAACAAAGTCTATATTTTTATATTTTAGGAGGTCATCGTGGAACATGTAATAAAAAGACCATTCGCAGAAGTAACATCCGGTAATAGTACGCATCAGTTGAGACCTTTCGGGATTTCGGTGATACATACGCAGTAGCCATATACGTGTCCATCTTTGCCGGAGAAATGCCGATAAAATAGCAAGTGCACATCCTCGTAGTTGAGACGGAGGGAATCAAAGGCGCAAGACGCAAATACTTTCGTGTACGCTTGCAGAACAATGTGGACCTTAAAAGGTACACGCGGGTCGTGGTACAACTCACCTTGAGAGGTGAAATCAAAGCCGTAGCGGCTAACTTTTAAATTTTCTTTTGCCATGATGTTAAAAAATTTGGTTATTTAAATATTTTGTTGTATCTTTGCAGCAGATTTCACAATTGCAAATGATTTTAATCGCGAATGTGTAAAATAGCACTTTACGCTGATTTTGTAGAGGTTACGTGTTCACTAATGAAATACGCATCCTCTTGAATGTTTGTTCTTCTGCAAAAACACGGTGCAAAAGTAGTAAATATATTTGATATAAGCAAATTAAATTTGCGCACCTATATAATTACGCATACGCGTGGGGACATGAAGCCGTAGGGTCGTTTAACCGACGCAGAGCAGGCAATAGTATTAGGAACTGCATCCGCGCATTCATCGCTTACGCGACTGACAGGTTTTGTCAGTGGTACTTATTATAATCAAGGGATAACCGCTTTTTGACAAAAAGCGTCAACAAAAACAATAGTATATGAAACAGAGAGGCGTAATAGTAATTTTAATAATGATAATTGCTATAATAGCAATGTATCTGATACAAAATAGGTGGACTCAAAAGAATCCACCTACTAAGAGATTAAAAATAGAAATTACCTACTGACCACTTGGATTCTGCCAAAACTTCTCCCAGGTAACAGGAGTCTTAGCGACTTTACGATATTTAACATTACCATCCGAATCACGGAAAGGCTGATAATCGTAACTATAACCTTTGAAGAAACGGCGGAAACGTGTCTTATGCCACCAAGCAGAATAATCATCAGGAGAGATAACATCCGGCTGATTAGAGGGGTCATCAAAATTAGAATCAATTTCATCAGCAGACTCATTAGTCAAACCAAGAGCAGCCAAAGCCTCTTGCAACCTATCAACAACAGGAAGACCAGAAGCCATAAAGAAAGAGCAAACCGACATAATCTCGCCATTAGTAAAACCAACAGAATCAAGGAGACCCGCAGTATCATAAAAGGTACTATTAGCCTTGTAGGCTTCAAGAGTACCTTTAGTACGAGTCTCTAAAGCACGTGCAACGACTTCCTGAGTTTTTTTATCCTGAAGCATCCAAGACATATAAGCATCACGATACGCAGGATTCTTTAAAACGTCAGCATCCATACCAAGAACAGCAATCTTATTGTTGACTTCCATAATGTCAGCATCATGAAGAACATCAAAGTTCTTATCTTTCCAATTCAACTCACGCTCCTCAAGAGCAATACCCTGTATCTGAACCTTCTCATTAGCAGATTTAACACGTGTCTCAATCTCAGACTGCTTACGCTTCTGTTGAGAATCACGAAAATTCTCAAATTGCGTACCAGTACTAGCATAAGAAGTCATATACGCAGCATAGCCTTTCATGCCGGCAGGAGTCTTTTTGAGCATCTTCCAAGAGTTAGAGTTAACCAACTTTTGAGACCAGTGTTCCGGGTCATCTGCATGACCTTTGGCATAATTCTCAAAATCCGCTACAGTACGCGCATCATCAATATCAAAACCGTCTTCTCCTTTGTGGGAGAACACTTCAGCAGCAGGGTCATTAGCAATCAGAGCACCAAGAGCACCACCATTAGGGTCAGCCAAAGAATCAAAGATTCCTTGACCAAGACCTGCAAGCGCAGACATATCAGGCTTCTGCTTCGTCCAAGGTTGCATCTGAGGAGCAACCTGTTGAGGTGCTTGCATCTGTGCAGTCTGAACCGGGGCGGGAGTGTAACCGGGTGCAGAACCACTACCTGCTACAATCTCCTTTGCTTGCTGTGCAGAGAAGCCGGCACGCATCAGTTCGGCGAGTTGATTCGTCGCAGTACTCCGCTCATAACTCTTTTCTGCCTCTTGAACTGATAGCGCATTGGCTTCTTGCGCAATCTGTAGATTAGTAGCGTTAGTGTCCTGTACACTCTGAACATTAGCAGCGTTAGTCTCACGTGTCATCTGAATGTTAGCAGCGTTAGTCTGTTGAGCAATCTCCTCATTAGACTTGTTGACCATCGCAGTGGCACCAAGTTCGCCAGCCATAGAAAATAAACTACCAATAGCAGCCATATAATAAATGTTTTTAAGTTATACAAAATGTTCTAAAATTAACTAATGTGCGATGGATCTACCAGGTAAAAATATCAAAATAATATTCTAAAATTAAATAATGTGCCCGGACTAATACCGAGGAATATAGCCGGGCACATATATGAAATCCAAAATCAATTAAACATAGTAAAAGGTTCAGGTTTAATATTCCGCACGAATACGTGCGGGCGAAAAGTCTAAACCTTCTAATATGTCAACAAGAGCGCACAATAGTTATATCCATTAAATACGTGCTTGTAGTAGAGGAGCGCGCTCATGGCAGACGCGCATCCTCTACAGTGCAACCATTAAATCACTTCAACGGCTGCAGGCAAAGCACGGTCAATAGCACAATCAACAACGACATCACCGTAAGCAACGCAGTCCCATTCGTCCAAGCCAAGGAACGCATTCAGCGGTAAGTGAATACGCAAGGCATAAGGATTAAGGGAGAACTTGCGAATGACATCGCTCTGTGATACATTCGCGAAATACATGTTATACCAGTCACGCGACCAGTTGAAATCGCGGTAATCCGTGAGGAATCGACCGTGGTTGCTATCCAAGTGGCAGCGGTACTGCAAGTAACGCGGAACGACACCGAGAACATCCGAATCGTTTTCAAAACCACGCAGGAAATCTTGCGTACGAATCTCAACGTTTGCATCTTCAGCGAACTCCGGGGAAGGCATGTCCTGAACGGCAATCTCCTGCAAGTGCATATTCGCAGCATCATACACTACCATAGGCACAAGGCTCACGAAGGAAATCATGTAGCAGTAGTCAGTCGCGTGGTAGGTGAACGAATCGTCACCGGCGACACCGGCTACCAAGGTACGAGAACCGACAGGAGTCTTATCCGTGGTCACGTTCGCAATCTGTTGGTCTCCGCTGATGAACTGCTCTGTTCCTCCGATGTACTCACTGATAAGAGAGGACGTGTCTCCGGGTTCAATACCGAACCGGGCACGAACCATACCGACATACGTGTCAGGGAAATAGTAGTTACGAGCAAGCCACTTACGCAGCATACCGGCACGCTTCATCGTCTGAAGGTCAGAACGCATAGCGGTAAGAGTATCACCAACAATACCAAAGCGAGAGAACAAGCCAGAGGGGAAAGCAGCAGCAGTAGAATTCTCAAAGGTCTCTGAAAGGATACTTTGGAAAGCAGCATCAGCACCAGGGGCTGCCTCATCATATTCAACACCACCAATCAAAGAAGAAGAAACCGGGTTGTATACGTGACGGAAATTGTCGTCCGTTTGAACGGTCGTCAACGGGTCACGCGAGAACATACGATACTTGAGGATGATGAGTTGCAGAATGTTGGCAAAATACTCAAAATCTCCTTGCCAGTTGGAAGGAGCAAGAATAGAAGTACCAGCAAACAAATCCGGGTCAAGGACGTTCTGACGTTTTTCCACGTGCCAGTTACGCAGGTAGTCATACCAAGCAGCGTAGCAAGCACGCAGAGGCATCTCGTCCAGATAGCGGTCGTCAAAAAGACTAATAGAAGCACCGGAAGAGTCAACATCTTGGACAGCAAAGAACTCAGAGAACTTAAGACCCAAGACAGCAGTAGGAGATACAATGTTATTCAAGCAATGACACCAAAGACCTTTAGAGGTAAAAATGGGATAACCCATTTGGTCAAGTTGAGTAGCCTCACCGAAGTAAGTCTTAAAGACTTCACACATAGCATCTCCAAAACTCATTGAAGACAAAGAGGAGGACAATTCAGTCAAACGCTGTTTATCTACAGCGATGAAATCCTTAATGTAACCATAGTTGCCATAGGTATCATCAAGAATATTCTCATACCGTGTCAAAATAGCCGAAACAATAGCAGAACAAATCTGCGCAAGAGTCATAGTATCCCCATCAGGATTAAGAATCTCACCAAGAGTATCATCCGGGTCAGTAGCAGAACAAAGGTAAGCCATAAGAGCACCATAAGTAGCATACACAGGGAAAGCAGGCTTATGTGCCGTACTCATGGTGGAGTCACTTTGTGACTGAATGAAGGCTTGCCAATCTTTATTGATACGGCGAGCATTTACCACGAAGGTGTGTGTATCCATACGGACACGACCAACGCGGGGAGTCATGATTTTCTCAAGTGCCAGGTCAACATTTAATTTACCTTGCACAATGTCTGTAGGGAGCAACGGCTCAAAGTTTACCGGAACAAGGCGACCCATCTGAGGGGTGCAGGTGTCACGGTGTCCGAGGTTGAATCCGGAACGCAGCGGGCTGCTAATCTGTAACGTCTCTTCGTTGACGTTAGAACGAGTAAAATTGTTCTTCATAACTGAAACAATTAAAGGGTTAATGAAAATGCACGGTGTCATTCTTTGCACCAGTGCCATAGATTAAAGTTGTGTCCGTGCTCAAAACAATCT